ATACTCACTGAACTTGAAGACCATGAGGGTAGAGATTGCTAGTGATTGTCAGTGGTCATCATATCTGATTTGATTCCCCTTCCTCCTGGGCACGCAGAAGACAGCACTAGTCAGCCCCCTTACCCATAGGCAGGACCTGAGGACTAGTTCTAGTCAACAGAAGTGTGTGTGAAGGGGCTGGGTGCAGTGGGCTCACACCTGTAATCTCAGCACTGAGGGAAGCCGAGGTGGGAGGATCACCTGAGGTCATGAATTCGAGACCAGCCTGGCCAACACGGTGAAACCCTGTCTCTACTAAATATACAAAAATTAGCGGGTGTGGTGGCGCACACCTGTAGTCTCAGCCACTTGGGAGGCTGAGGCCGGAGAATTGCCTCAACCTGGGAGGTAGAGATTGCAATGACCTGAGATCATGCCACTGCACTCCAGCCTGGTGACGGAGTGAGACTCTCTTAAAAAACAAAACAAAACAAAACCACAAAAAAAAAAAAACTTCACAAAAATCAGCCAGGTGTGGTGGCATATGCCTGTAATTCCAGCTATTAGGGAGACTGAGGCAGGAGAATCACTTGAACCCGGGAGACAGAGGTTGCCATGAACCAAGGTCGTGCCACTGTACTCCAGCCTGGGTGACAAAAGCGAAATTCCATCTCAAAAAAAAAAAAAAAAAAAAAAAAGTGTATGTGAAGGGATATGTAAAGTGTGTCACTTCTTCCTGGCTGAGGCAGTAAAATGCTCCATAAGTTCTCCAGGCTTTTTTTCCTGCCACAGCAACTGACAGCCCCAAGCTCCAATGTAGCCATCAATGAAGCAGCCTGGATCCCTGAGTTACTGCTTGGAAGAGAGAGGCCCTGGAGAGCCACTAGCCTCATAATGGACTTTGCATGAATGAGAAATAGTTTTTTAAATGCTAAGCTGCTGAGACTTTGGGATTTGCTTGTTATCATAACATAGTTTGTTTTGACCTGACTAACACAATGTTAGAATGTACACAGGAAAATCAGTTCAATATTTTACTTCTGGGTAATGTAGAGCTCTAATCAAATAATTAATTTGGTTATCTGTCATGCATTGAAAGTTATTACAAATGACATTTGGCTCTTTTTAAAAAATTGAGTCAAACAGTAAAAGCATGCCTCCATACTGGAACATTGTGAGCTAAGGCAGCCTTCTTCTAATGCCTTCAATGTGCTGGGTGTGGTGGCCCATGCCCGTCGGCCCAGTTACTCAGGAGACTTAGGTGGGAGGATCCCTTGAGGCTTGGCAACATAGCAAGACCCCATCTCTTTAAATACATACATAAATAAATAAAGCCTCCATTAGCAACTACTTAAAAAACTGAGAGTAATTTGGCTGCCTATGTTCTGGTGGTATGTTCAAAATCAATCATACCACTGTCTAGCTCTAGATTTATATTCATATATATTTTTTAGATGTTGACAATAATATCTTAAATAATTTAAGATATTCAAGCTAATCCAAGTAATTTAAGGCAGTCAAGTTCATAGTGTAGTCAACACAGTATCTGATAAATCCGTTAGAAAAATTAACAATATTGCTATCATTTATTGACTGACTCCTAACACACGTTATATCTCCTTTTATACACATTGTATCTAAACCTCAAAATATCCCCACTGTATTAGTTAGGGTTGTGTGGAGAAACAGAACCCACAGGATGTTGAAGGGTCTGAAATGCGCCACTGTGACATAACAACTATTTTGAGCCGAAGGGATTTGAAAATCAACAGATGTATGTTCTGAATTTCCCCCATCTACCTCGAAGCAGAGCTCCAAAAGAACTCAACTGTTATCAATCTCCTCCCTGGAAGGTTCAAAAACAGGGAAGATGGACTCATCACTGGAGACAGAGAAAGCACCACAGCTCAACAGACATCGTCACACAACCATTATCCCTCCCATCTATTCTCTAAGAATCCATTTATCTTCCCTCAAAGTTATTTGTTTTCGCTAAGCATCCTTTCTCTTCCCACTCTCCCCAAGAAATCATTTGTTTTCCCTAAGAGCCTTTCTCCTCCTCCCCTTCCTCTATTAAGATGATATATTTTTCCCAAATTCTGTCTCATAGTCACATTTCTTTTGAACCCCCACTTACATAAGTGAATTTAAAAACCTGTCTTTTTCTCTGCTAATCTATCTTTTGTCAGTTTAATTTGTAGGTCTCCAGCTGGTCACAGTGGCTAACCCCTGTAAATCCCATCACTCTTGGAGGCCGAGGTGGGTAGATCACCTGAGGTCAGGAGTTTAAGACCAGCCTGGGCCACATGGTGAAACCCCGTCTCAACTAAAAATACAAAAATCAGTTGGGCATGGTGGCGGGCACCTGTAATCCCAGCTACTTGGGAGGCCAAGGCAGAAGAATCCCTTGAACTCAGGAGGTGGAGGTTGCAGTGAGCCAAGATTGCGCCATTGCACTACAGCCTGGGCAGCAGAGCGAGACTCTGTTTAAAAATAATAATAATAATAATTTGTAGGTCTCCAGTAACTGAATGTAGGAAGGTAGAGAATGTGTTTCCTCCCTGACAATGTGTGAGTGTACACATATATATCTCTCTCTGAGAGGGAGAAAGAACAAGAGAGGGAGAGAGAGAGAGGGAGGGAAGAAGGAAGGGGGAGCGAAGGAACAAAAAGAGAAAATGAGAGAGAGAGAGAGATTTAATTTAGGGCTTTGTAAATCCAAAGTCTGCAGGGTCATTTAGCAGGCTGCAAACCAAGGGAAGGATTGCAATTTGAACCCGAAGGTGGTCTACCGGCAGAATTCCCGTTTCCTCTGGGGAGGTCAGTCTTTTCTTATTAAGGCTTTCAACTGATTGGATCAGGCCTATCCACATTATAGACAGTAATCTACTTTACTCCAAGTCTACTGATTTAAATATTAATCTCATCTAAAAAATCTGCCGAGAAATATCTCAATAATATTTAACCAAATATCTGGGTACCGGGGCCTAACCAAGTTGACACATAAAATTAACCATCACACCCATAAACCCCCCATTTCATATATGAGGATATTGAGACTCAAGGAAAGTAATTCAATTGCTTGAGGTAAAATGACCAGTATATAGCAGAGCTGGGACATGAATCCATGGCTGTGAATCTAAAGCTCTTGATCTCGCTACACAGCACACTCACTCACTGCCAAGGGTCTTTTCACAGGCCAGCTTTTACTTCTTTTTTCTTCTACAGTATCTTTTTTCTAGAGATAGGGTCTTGCTCTGTCACCCATGCTGGAGTACAGTGGCATGATCGTAGCTCACTGCAGCCTTGGGCTGGGATTACAGGCATGATCCTCCTACCTCAGCCTCCCGAGTAGCTGGGACTACAGGCATCCACTACTACACCTGGCTAATGTTTTTATTTTCCATAGAGGCAGGGTCTCTCTATGTTATTCAGGCTGATCTTGAACTTCTGGGCTCAAGTGATCCTCCCACCTTGGCCTCCCAGAGTGTTAGGATTACAGGCATCAGCCACTGTGCCTGGCCTTCTAAAATAGCTTGATCTTATTCTATCATAAACCATAAAACTTAGCTTCAATTTTAACTGTACTTAACAGTTGTAACACCATATGTGCTCACTTAAATATTTTTTGAAGGACTGAGGATATCCTATGGGAGGCACTTGAAAGGAATTTTCCAGAGCTATGACCATTAATACTGATAGTTTTATGTTTTTATTTCAATAATTATTACTATTACTATTATTATTTTGAGACAGAGGCTTGCTCTGTTGTCCAGGCTGGAGTGCAGTAGTGTGATCTCGGCTCACTGCAACCTCTGCCTCCTGGGTTTGAGCGATTCTCCTGCCTCAGCTTCCCAATTATCTGGGATTACAGGTGCTCACCATCACGCCTGGCTAGTTTTTGTTTTTTTAGTAGACATGGGGTTTCACCATATGTTGGCCAGGCTGGTCTTGAACTCCTAACCTCAGGTGATCTGCCTACCTCAGCCTCCCAAAGTGCTGGTGTGAGCCACTCCACCTGCCTCAGAGGTGTGAATCACTGTGCCCAGACTATTTTAATTATTTTTGAATAGACAACGTACTTAACAGTGTTAAGTACATTCACACTGTTGTACAACCAATCTCCAGAACACTTCATCTTGTAAAACTGATAATTCATACTCATTAAACAACCTCCCATTTCTCCTCCTCTCAACCCCAGGCAACTGCCATTCTACTTTCTTTTCTTTTCTTTTTTTTTTAGACAGAGTCTCACTCTGTTGCCCTGGCTGGAATGCAGTGGTGCAATCTCCGTCCCTTGGGTTCAAGCAATTCTCCTGCCTCAGCCTCCAGAGTAGCTGGGATTATAGGCACCTGCCACCGTGCCTGGCTAATTTTTGTAGTTTTAGTAGAGATGAGGTTTCACCATCTTGGCCAGGCTGGTCTTGAACTCCTGACCTTGTGATCCACCTGCCTTGGCCTCCCAAAGTGCTGGGATTACAGGCATGAGCCACCGCACCTGACCTTCTACTTTCTGTCTCTATGAATTTGACTACTCTAGGTACCTCATATAAGTGGAATCATGCAGTATTTGTTTTATTTTATGGCTGCATGTGATTTTAATATATTTATTTTCTTAACATGGTTCAAGATGCAAAAGAAAATAGGATGATAGAATGAAAATCCTTATTTGCATCCCTGCCCCCGGCCCCTACTTTCCCTTCATCTGACATAACCAATCTTGTAAATTCCTTGAAATATTCTATGCAACCGTTTGAATTATATATAGTTCTGTTTTCTTTTTTTAATGAAAGCTGTTTTGCACCTCACTTTTCCACTTTAAAATACATCTTGGAGATTGTTCCATAAAAAGTACTCATAGTGTTTGAAAGTATTAGAAATATTTAACCATATAATATGCAAATAAAAACAGGAAAATCATAATACTTAATTCCAAGACTCTGCCACACATTGAAAGTATTCTCCCAATCCCTTTGAACAATACTGGTGCCAGCAATCCTCTTTGTTGCAAGCGAATTTACCTGCATCCTAAACGTTGCTCTGGTTTCTTAGCCAAGAAGAGTCTGCAAATATCTTTTGCCTCCTCTGTGAAGTTATCGTGTTGGAATTTGACCTCGTCTTGCAGAGTTCTTTGCTTTACCTCCTCTTTACTGACCTTTTCCTTGTAATCTTTGAATGGTGTTCGTCCAGCAACCATTTCATAAATGCTGCATCCCATGGCAAACCAGTCCACAGGATAGGAATAACTTACCTTTTCCATTAGGATCTCAGGAGCCATGTAACCATTGGTTCCAGCCTGTAACATCCCAAACAAAACACAAGACAACACAGAACAAAGACACTAGGGTGAGTGTAGCAGACACTGCTGATTGCCTACCTAATACACATTCTGCTTTTCTTCCCTTGTTCAGGGAACCCTAATTTGTTTGGGGCGGCAACATGTCTAACCTGTTCTTTTCGCTGCTTTCCCAGCAGCTTTGAGTGCAGCCAGGGGAGGCCATGTTACCCACTTTGGTCAATGAGGTAGAGTAGGTAGCTAAGGGCGTCATGAAAAGGGAAGACCTAGGTGCTCTTGACGTGGGAAAATCAGTTACCTCTCTTAGGCTCTTCACCTCATCTTTAAGATGAAAAGTTCAAGCGGATGTCTGTAAGATCCCCTAAGCTCCGCCTTTTTAAAAAATTCACAGAAAATAGAAAATGAGATGCATATGGTTTTTTAAGGTTGAGCCCTTTATTACTAATATCGAATGTTCATGTTATCTAGTCTGTGATGTTCCTTACTCTATGTGCTGTGGAATAACATTAACCTCACATAGCTCTGCCTGTCTCTGCACTGAATAGTTAACACTGCCATTTTAATTGAGGAAATTCCACACACACATGAAATTTCATTTTACATGCATGACTAGGTATGATAGGCACACTTCTACTGACAATATATGCCAAATGCTCATTAGATTAAATATATACATATTCACTTTATATATACACATGTGTATTTATATATAATACACATGTTTGTATATACTTGCATGTGTGATAAAATACACATAAAATTCACTATCTAAATCAGTTTGCAGTATAAGTTCAGTAGTACTAACTACATTCTCACTGCTGTGCAACCAATCTCCAGAACTACTCATCTTGTAAAACTGATGATTTATGCTCATTAAACAACTTCCCATTTCTCCTCCCCTCAAACCCAGGCAACTGACATTTTACTTTGTGTCTCTATGAATTTGACTACTCTAGGTACCTCATATAAGTGGAATCATGCAATATCTGTCTTTTTGCGGCTGCATGTGATTTTAACACATTTATTTACTCAACACATTATTTAATGAAATCTACAACACACCTTGCAATTGTAAGGTATACATTTACTTGAGAATTATTATTTTTTGAGGCAGAGTCTCACTCTGTCACGCAGGCTGGAGTTCAGTGTCCCGATCTCAGCTCACTGCAACCTCTACCTCCCAGGTTCAAGCTGTTCTCCTGCCTCAGCCTCCCAAGTAGCTGGGATTACAGGCAGCAGCCACCATGCCTGGCTAAGTTTTGTATTTTTAGTGGAGATGGGGTTTCACTATGTTGGCCAGGCTGGTTTCAAACTCCTGACCTCAAGTGATCCTCCTGCCTCGGCCTCCCAAAGTGCTGCGATTATAGGTGTGAGCACCGTGCCTGCCTGACTCCGACTTTTTGGAGAGCAATATGACAGAGAGCAGTGGAAAACAAAAGGTCACAGAGTGTTCCTGTTTTTCAACCAGATTATTTAACTTTGGATTAGGTACCTCAAAGAAAACTCAGAAGAAAGAAAAAGGAATCTATATTGAGATATTCATAATTTCATTAATTCAGAATGGTCACACACTGGAAATACCCCAAGGCCCATCAATAAGACAATAAACCAGAGTCTATTGTTAATACCAAGGAATGACTGTCACCCACTGATTACAACCATGCATTTCAGTACTTCAGGAAAGGTTGGAGAAGTTGGGTGCGGTGGTATGTACCTGTAGTCCCAGCTACTCAGAAGGCTGAAGTGGGAGGATCCCTTCGGTCAAGGAGTTTGAGGCTGTAGTGCGATAGACTAGCCGCTGCACTCCAGCCTGGGTAACTTAGTGAGACCCTGTCTCTAGGAAGAAAACATTAGAAAGTGTTGAGCTGTGCATTAGGTGTTTTATTTCTAGTTGGTTAAGTCTTTTTTAATGTAATCCTTTAGAAATGTGAAATTTCATAGATAATTTCTACATGGATCACAACGACGAAGACACATAAATGATCCAAGTACTAATGAAGAATGATCGGCTTCTACAAGAAAGTTCTGGAAGTGACTAGGGTCTAACGGGCTGTGCATGAGTCAGCATGGGACTGCTGTTTTCAGAGAAGCTGGTGTATAATTTGGGTGACCATATGTTCCGGTTTGCTGGGGACAGTCCCGGTTTCCATCTGTTGCCCTGACGTCTTGTCCAGTTTTGCATTTGTCCAGACAAAAAGGTCCTGTAGGCGCCTGTGAGGCCCAGGATACAGTCTTACTCATCTTTGTCCCCAAATCCAGGCACTTAGCACAGGGCCTCACCTGGAGCATGCCATGTTGTTAAATAAATAACAGCATAGATGGTGACTATATCTTTTCCATTCATTACGCAGAAAACATTTGTTAAGTCATGCCCTGCAATGAATTTCCAGGATACCGAGACCTATGAGGCCTGGCCCTTGCCCTTGAGGATTTGGAAGACTGGCAGAGACAGACAGGTCAGAAGGTTGATTCAATAGAGTGTGGAGCACATGCAGGGAGGCCCAAGGGGTCAGTGTGTGCATGTGAGTGTATGTGATTGTGTATGTGAGTGTGTGAGTGTGTCTGTGTGTATATGTGTATGTGAGATGGTGTGTGTGTGTGTTTATGTGTGTGGGTGTATGAATGTGTATGAGTGTGGTGAGTATGCATAATGTGTGTGAGTGTGAGCCATGATTGAGCCACTGCACGTCCAGCCTGGGTGACATACTAAAACTCTCTCTCTCTCTGACACACACACACACACACACACACACACACACACACACGTACAAATACTATGAGAAAATTTCCCAGTACAGACAGTCATTGATTGCTGGATTGAGGGGCCACCTCATAGCCATGATAGCCAGCACCATGGATGAAAACAGTCCCACACCAAAGTATGTCATTGAGAAATTTCATCATGTTGGTGTACTGGACTACAAACCTCACGCACCTTCCTACATTCCCTCTACCACCTCCTTTCCTCTCCCTCTTGCACAGCTCTCTGTTGGCAGCACATCTAGGCTAGGCTGCCCTCCACTTTCACAATTGGTTGAAACACCATCCTGTGGGATATGGAGCCTTATTTCCTGGGCAGCTGCTAATCGGCTGGAAGACATGTTGGCAATGTAGCGCTTCGGATAATCCTTGACCAATGGAAACCAGAGATGGGAGGGATGGGGCAGCTGCATCCCCCTCGCCCTCTCCTGTGCTTCCTCCTTGTGCCTCTCCCAGAAAAGTCCCTTGTGCCTGATAAACCAGCACTCAGCTGGACATCACATCCCCCTTCCCTCACTCTCCTTTCCCCTTCTACATTCTATTATAAAAATTTTCAAGCATACAGCAAAGTTGAAAGAATTTCACAAGAGCACCTTCGAAATACGCATTACCTAGAGTTTGTCATTGACATTTTTACCAGATTTTTTGAGATATAATTTAAATACCATGAAATCCATTCATTTAAAGTGTCCTAGCTGGGCACGGTGGCTCGCGCCTATGATCCCAGCACTTTGGGAGGCCAAGGCGGGTGGATCACCTGAGGTCAGGAGTTTGAGACCAGGCTGGCCAACATGGCAAAACCCTGTCTCTACCAAAAACACACGCAAAAAATAGCCGGGCATGGTAGTGTGTGCCTGTAGTCCCGCTATTCAGGAGGCGAGGCAGAAGAATCACTTGATCCCAGAAGGTGGAGGCTGCAGTGAGCCAAGATTGTGCCCCTGCACTCCAGCCTGGGCAACAGACAAGACTCCATCTCAAAAAGAAAAAAAACCATACTGGATTTTAGTATATTTACAGAGCTGTGAAAACACTATCACAATCAATTTCAAAACATTTTCTTCACCCCCAAAAGAAATCCCATATCCTTTAGCAGTCAATTTCATTCCTCTGCTCTTCCACCCCTAAGCAACCATTCATCTATTTTCCGTCTCTATGGAATTGCCTATGTTAGACACCTCATATAAATGGAATCATCCAAAACATGGTCATTTGTGACTAGCTTCTTCCATTTAGCATGTTTTCAAGGTTCACCCATGTTGTAGCATGTACCAGTACTTCATTCCTTTCTTCCCCCCACCCTACCCCAAGCGGGAGTCTTGCTCTGTCGCCCAGGCTGGAGTGCAATGGTATAATCTTGGCTCACTGCAACCTCCACCTACCTCCAAGGTTCAAGCGATTCTTCTTTCTCAGTCTCGCAAATAGCTAGGATTACAGGCTCCTGCCACCACGCCCGGCTATTTTTTGTATTTTTAGTAGAGACGGGGTTTCACCATGTTGGCCATGCTGGTCTTGAACTCCTAACTTCATGATCCACCAGTCTCGGCATCCCAAAGTATCAGGATTACAGGCGTGAGCCACTGCACCCAGCCACTACTTCATTCCTTTCTATGGCCAAATAATATTTCCTGTATATCATTAACATTTTACTAGATTTGCTTTATCAAATGTCTGTCAATCTATCCATCCTTTCTATCCATCCATTTAGTCAATCTTACATCTTTTATGTATTTCCAAGTAAACTCACTTCTCTTTTTTCCAGGGCTTTGTACCTCCTAGGCTCAAGCAATCCTCCACTTCAGCCTCCTGAGTAGCAGGAACCACAGGGGCATGCCAACATGCCTGGCTAATTTTTTATTTTTTGGTACAGATGGGGTCTCTCTCTCTGTTTCTCAGGCTGGTCCTGGGATCCTCCTGCCTTGGCTTCTCAAAGTGCTGGGATCACAGGCAGAAGCCACCACATCCGGCCTCTCCTAGTCATTCTTTGATCATTTTCTCCCTTCCATTTTGTCTCTTTTCTTTTTTTTCAGAACTCCTGAACTTATCCTTTCTGTTTCTTACCTTTTGCTCCTAATGTCCACCTCTGTCTCTTATTTCCTTTTGAGAGCTATGGGGGTAGATGTCCTCTATTTTTTTCTCCAATTCTTCTGGTTTTTTTTTTTTTTTTAAATAGAAGAATTTTAAAAGAATTTTCCATAATAAAATTTTCCATTTTATTACAGAAAATTTCAAATAAATACAAA